CCCCCGGGGGCCTCGGGGGGCCCTCAGGGGGCTCGGGAGGACCCAAGGGGCCTTTTATGGGGCCCCAGGGGTCTCCAGGGGCCCTCTGGCAGTCTCTGGGGGCCCCTGGGGGCCCCTGGGGGCCCCCAGAGAGTCCTGGGGGCCCCTGGGGGCCCCTGGGGTCTGTAATTTGATGTGGGGTGTTTAGTTGGTGAGCTGCATGTAGCAGGTTGCTGGTGGTGTTGCTGGTGCTGCTCGTTTGCGTACTTTGCTGCTGCTGCAGCAGCGGCTGCAGTGTGTCTTTTGCTGCAGCAGCAGCTTCTGCTGCTGGCGTGTGAGCTGCTGCTGCAGCAGCTGGAGGTGTTTTGTGTGTCTTGCTGCTGCCGCCGCTGGCGCGGGTGTGTCCGTTGCTGCTGCTGCGTGCGCTGCTGCTGCAGCTACTACGCCTTCATCGCAGACCCTGCGCTTTACCCGGACTTGTCCCACAAATGGATTTTCAAAAAGTGGAAAAATGGCAAAAAGATTTATTTGCCGGACGGGGCGACGGTGGCGGACTTCAAGGCTGCGGTGTACGTACACCAGAAGCCCCAGGCCCTCCGCGACAAGGAAGCAGCAGCAGCAGCAGCAGCAGCAGCAGCAGCAGCAGCGAAGGCAGCAGCAGCGGGGGCGGAGCCGGGCGAGGCGCCGGAGCCCGCAGCAGCAGCAGCAACTCCTGCTGCAGCAGCAGCAGCAGCAGCAGCAGCAGCAGATGGCAGCAAACTCGAGTTTCAAGACACCAGCCAGCTGCTGGTCGGCTGCAGAGGCCGCATGTTTGCTGACAGCGACAACTTGGCTCTGGCGGTGAAGGCCTTTTGCCGCAGAGACCCCCGGCTTCTTATTTGGAAGGACTGAAGCAGCAGCAGCAGCAGCAGCAGCAGCAGCAGCAGCAGCAGCAGCAGCTGCAGCAGGAGCAGCGGCGGCGGCAGCAGCGGTGGGGCAGCACGCGCCGCAGGCTGCGCAGCGGCAGCGGCCGCGGCAGCAAAGCGCAGGCGATGATGGGAGAAATGTGGCAGCAGGAGCAGCAGCTGCAGCAGCAGCTGCAGCAGCAGCAGCAGAAATAGCAGCAGCAGCAGCAGCAGCAGCAGCTGATGGAAGCGGCTGCTTTCGTTTTCAGCTGCGGGGACTCGTGGCTGGAACCCTGAGCTTACCCCCCCCAAACCCTAAACCCTAAACCCTAAATCTGTTTATTTTGAAGCTTCCTTCACCGGCCATGCCAGAGGTTCTGCTGCTGCTGCTGCTGCTGCTGCTGCTGCTGCTGCTGCTGGAAGCTCGACAGCTGCTATTCTGTCTTGCTGGTGACGAAGTAGTTGAAGTGTATATACACCCTAGAAGTCAACTAGACACAGCATGCATTCTCCCTAGAAAAGCGAACGTAGATGTGCTGCTGCTGCTGCTGCTGCAGCTGCTGCAGCACCAGCAGCAGCTGCTGCAGCAGCAGCAGCTGCAGCACCAGCAGCAGCAGCTGCTGCTACTGCAGCGGCACACGTGCTGTGCAGCAGCTGCTGCTGCCGCTGCACTTGCTGCTGGAGCAGCAGCAGCAGCAGCAGCGGCTGATGCCTTCTTCGGAGCTGCTGTCTTGCACAGTGAAAGCAGCCCTTTGCTGCTGCTGCGCTGCTGCTGCGCTGCACTCAAGGAAGCCTCAGGGGCCTCCTTTGGCGCTGCTGCTGCTGCTCGCATGCAAAGAGAAGAAAAGGAACTGCAGCAAAACTAAAAAGGCCGAGACTGCAGCAAGACTTGGTGAGAAAAAGTGGAGAGCTGCTGCAGCTGCTGCAGCTTGCTGCAGCAGCAGCCCGCGGAAAAGCTGTCGATCCAGGAGCAGCGGAAACTCTTCAAATGAATTAAAACTGAGTTTTAATCTCCGAAAAACCAAAAAGGAAAACAATAGAAGACTGGCGGCGCTCAGCCGCCGGCTTAGCGAAGCGGAGCTGGCGGCAGCCGCGCAGGTGTACGTACACCCCGTGTCTTGCACACACCAAAAGCGCAGAGCCTTTTCACTTTCATTTCTTTTCACTTTTGTCATTTCTGCGTTGCGAAATAAATTGCAAGTTCAAGAGGGGTTCTCTGAGGCCCCCTGGAGGCCGCCCCTCCAATCGACGCGCCGGCTAGCCAGCAGCCGCCACTGCGGCGTTAAGGCCGCGGAAAGCTGCATTTTTTTCGGAGATTTGGAATTAATAAAACTAAAATGAACTAATGTTCAGGAAAATAGAAAGAAATGGTCTTTCTGGGGCCCGGAAAGCTGAAGATCGCTCCTGTTCAGGTTCTGCTGTGTGCCCGCGCGGGCGATTCAAGTTTCTCGCGAGCGGCGCCGATCTGCGGCTAAAAAAGGCGAATTCGAGTTATTCTTTTTTTGAATTAATTAATTAATTCAAATTAAATTCCGTTTTTCCAGTTTTAATTCCATTTCCGCGGCTTTCTCGCGCGTCTGCGCGCGCTGCCTCGCCGGTCATCGGGGGAGCGAGGAAAGATGCCAGCGGCCGTTTGCGGCGCTGCCCCGGCTGTCCTTGGGAACTTTGTTGCAGTTTTTGAATATTTTTTATTTAAAAAGCTTCGAAATAATTCATTTGAGGCATTTAAGGGGCTCCAGGCGCTGCTGCTGCTGCTGCTGCTGCTGCGTAGAGGCGCACGCAGCAGCAGCCCGGCCCAGTGGCTTCAGCTACCTCCAGCGGGAGGCTGCAGCAGCAGCACGGAAGCCCCTGCTGCAGCAGCAGCTTCGTTTTCTTTCTTTTCCCTTTCTGCTGCCTCGAAGGCTCTTCAGCAGCAACTCCTCGAAGCAGCGCTGCTGCCCCTGGCGCTGCGCAGCAGCACCCGCCTCGCGGCGCGTCCGAAACCCAGCAGCAGCAGCAGCAGCAGCAGCAGCAGCAGCAGCAGCAGCAGCAGCGGCAATGAAAAAGCCGCAGCTAAGTCCTTTTAATTGCTTCTTTTGGTATTCTTCATGACTCTCCGGCTTCCCAAAGTCGGGGAAGCAAACCCTTTCTAAGCAGGCAGCTGTACGTACACCCCAAGAAGGTACCCATAATATGTTTTGCCCTTTCAGTTCTTGGGGGCTCCCCAGGGGGGCCCCCCAGGGGGGCCCCCGGGGGGCCCCCCAGGGGGGCCCCTGGGGGCCCCTCAGGCCTTGGAGGCTCCAGGGCCTTGCGCTCTTAGTTTGCTTCTGCTGCGTCGCCCTTTTTGAACAGCTGGCGCAGCAGTGTGCTGCAGCAGCAGGCCCTGCAGCAGCAGCAGCAGCAGCAGCAGCAGCAGTACCTGCTGCTGCAGCAGCAGACTTCGGGACGCTGCTGGCAGCTTCCACTTTGGAGGCCCCTGTGGGGCCCCACGCACACTCAGGTGTATATACACTTCAAGACGCTGCTGCGCAGCAAGTGCAGCAGGCTGCTGCTCTGGGCGGGCAGCTGTACGTACAGCTGGCGGCGCAGCAGCAAACAGCAGCAGCAGCAGCAGCAGCAGCACCTGCTGCTGTGGATGTGACGGTCTCGCCTCACAGTCAAGAAGCAGCTGCTCCAGCAGCAGCAGCAGCACCAGCTGCAGCAGCAGCACCAGCTGCAGCAGCAGCAGCAAGCCCTACCCTCGAAGCCCCAGGTGCAGCAGCAGCACCGGGCGCGCTGCTTGCTGGGCCTGCAGCAACACAAACAGCAGCAGCAGCAGCGCCAGCAGCAGCAGCAGCAGCGCCAGCAGCAGCAGCAGCAGCAACAGTGCCAGCACCAGAAAGCCTAGTACTTTCGCCTGCAGCAGCACCAGCAGCAGCAACCGCAGCGCCACCAACAGCAGCAGCCTTTTCAGACCCAACGCAAACGAGTTTGCTGCCAGCAGCAGCAGCAGCAGCAGCAGCACCAGCAGCAGCAGTGCCGTTAACTTTACCAGCAGCAGCAGCGCCTGCAGCAGAAACAGCAGCAGGGACAGCAGCAGCACCCTTAGCCGCAGCGCCAGAAGCAGCAGCACCACTAGCAGCACCTGCTGCAGCAGCAGCAGCAGGACAGCTAGCTGCCCCGCCAGTTGCTGCACTACCAGCAGCAGCAACAGCAGCAGCACCAGGAGGAGCTGCTGCTGCCCCTCTTGCTGCTGCACCAACAGCAGCAGCACCGCTAGCAGCAGCAGTCCCGCTAGCAACAGCAGCACCACCGACAACAGCAGCAACAACAGCAGCAACAGCAGCAGCAGCACCGCTAGCAGCAGCGCCGCTAGCAGCAACAGCAGCACCAGCAGCAACAGGAGCAGCGCCAGCAGCACCAACAGCAGCGGCGCCGCTACCAACAGCAGCAGCACCGCTAGCAGCAGCACCGCTAGCTGCAGCACCAGCAGCAGCAGCAGCACCAGCAGCAGCAGCACCAGCAGCAGCAGCACCAGCAGCAGCAGCACCAGCAGCAGCAGCAGCACCAGCAGCAGCAAAAGCTCCTTCAGCTTCTGCACACGACGTTGCTGAAAGGATGAGAGTGCTGGAGCTGCTGTCAGGTACTGCTGCTGCAGGTTCTGCTGCTGCTGCTGATGCTGCTGCTGCTGGTGATGCTGCTGCTGCTGCTGCTCCCCATAGCGGCAGCGCAGCAGCGCAGCCAGCAGCTGCAGTTGGGGCTGGGGAGAGCGCGGAGGAGGCAGCAGCAGCAGCAGCAGCAGCAGCGGCAGCAGCAGCAGCAGCAGCAGCAGACGGCGCAGGCGTGGGGCCACTTGCTGCTGCAGCAGAACAGGCTTCTGCTGCAGCAAAAGACGCTAAAGGAGACGCCCCAGGGGTAAAAATAAAAAGAGAATATAAAGATTTAAAAGAATACAAAGAGACACATTTAAACGGCGCAGGCGTGGGGCCACTTGCTGCTGCAGCAGAACAGGCTTCTGCTGCAGCAAAAGACGCTAAAGGAGACGCCCCAGGGGTAAAAATAAAAAGAGAATATAAAGATTTAAAAGAATACAAAGAGACACATTTAAGGCAGCAGCAGCAGCAGCAGCAGCACGAGCAGCGCCAGCAGCAGCAGCAGCAGCAGCAGCAGCGCCAGCAGCAGCAGCAGCAGCAGCAGCACTTCAGTGCACATAACAACTGGCCCTTGCCACCACTTTGTAAAAAGCAGAAAAGAAGCAAAAAAAGAATTAAAAGAACAAAAAGAATTAAAAGAAATAAAAGAAATAAAAAAGAAATAAAAGAATTAAAATAAATAAAATAAATAAAAAGTTGTTTTGTTTGCTGCAGGACTTGAAGACCTGCTTCAACCGCTGCAGCTGCACTCCCGTCATTATTGTGTCTTCGCTGCTCTTCGCAGTTTGCTGCTTTAGTGTTTTCGTCGCCACTGTCCTCATGGGCACTCTTTTCTCCAAAGTAGGGTTTAGGGTTTAGGGTTTAGGGTTTAGGGTTTAGGGTTTAGGGTTTAGGGTTTAGGGTTCGGGGGCAGGGGGGAGTAGGG